ATATGCAGAACAATCAAATCTCATCGCCTAAACATTGTGGGCAAAGACATCAAGAAGAGAATGTGCTTTCTTGTTGACATGGCAATCCCTGTCAATTGTAATGCGTCTTTGAATATCCCCCAAAACGATGAAAATACAAATATCTTGAAGTGGAAATCTAAAAAAAAAAATATGGCACATGAGGACATCAGTAATCCCAGTTGTATTTGGAGCACTCGGATTGACTGGAAAATATTCCGATAGATTCATTGAAGAGATCCCTGTTAGACAAACCTTAAAGAAATACAACAAATTGTACTCACAAGTACAGCCCACACATAACGAAGTGCTTTATCTATGTAGAATGTGTATGATTTTAGGTTTCTTTGATTAGTGGAAAATTTCCTGATGATTCTGAGATTAGGTCTCTGGTTAAGACCCGGAAGAAAATGTGTATACAAAAAAAAAAATTCAAGGACATAATAATAATAATAATAATAATAATAAACAATTGATCATCTTGTATCAGGTTGCACGGTATTGGCACCCACTGAGTATAAAACCCGGCATGACATAGTTGGCCAATATCAGCACTGGAAAATCTGCAACTTCTACGGGAAGGAAACAGCAAGAAATTGGTATGAACACCAGCCAGGCCCGGTAACAGTTTTATGGGACGACGCAATACACACAGAAAAATCAAAGTTAATTGCCCAGACATTGTTATTAGAGAAGGCAAACAGAAAAAAGTGCCTCCTTATTGATATGGCAGTCCCCGCAGACTGAAATGTATCTTTGAAGATCTTAAAAAATCTATCAAAATATAAGGACCTTGAAATCAAAATCTGAAAAATGTGGCACATGAGAACATCAACAATCCCTGTTGTAGTTGGAGCCCTCGGATTGATTGGAAAAGATTCCAGTAGACTAATTGAAGGGATTCCTGGATTACTGACCACACCTTACAAAGGGCTTTATCTATGTAAAATATTTTTTTTTTTTTTTTGTCAGTGGAAAATGTCGTGATGGCATTTCTAACCTTAGTTATCTGGGCAGGACCCAGAAAGAAAAGTGTTCACACCAGAAATCAAAGGAAATAATAATAATAATAATAATAATAATAATAATAATAATATGTCAAAGTACAAGGACCTTGAAATAGAAATCTCGAAAATGTGGCATATGGGAACATCAACAATCCCTGTTGTAGTTGGAGCCCTAGGACTGGTTGGAAAAGATTGCAGTAGACTAATTGAAGGGATTCCTGGAAGTCCATGCCTCAAGGAGATACAAAAAATTGTTCTGACAAGTACAGCCCACACCTTACGAAGGGCTTATCTATGTAATTTAATTTTTTTTTTTTTTTGTCAGTGGAAAGTGTCATGACGCCATTTCTAACCTTAGATCCCTGGGCGGGACCCGGAAAGAAATGTGTAAACGCCAGAAATCAAAGAAAATAATAATAATAATAATGTTTACATTCCGAGAAATATCCAAGAAGTGGTACGACTACGTACCATTGAGCCTAAAAGAAGGCAAGCAAAAGACTGTTAGTTAACAAAATCTTGACTTTGGGTCTTTGGTAAGTACGTATTATTTCCTAATTGCGTGCGTCTACAAAACAAAGGAATTGACTATTATTCTCTTCAGTGATTGCTTTTCTGGCCGAAACATCGCTGTTTTGAAAATAACCTATTTTTCCTTTATATCCAGGACAGATTTAGGGCGAGTTGCTGAAGAATAATTTTCTTGACCTTTCGAGAAGTTGCAAGAACTTTCGAAAATTTTCAAGAATTTCTAGAACGTTCTAGCAATATAGAAGGAAATACAAATACAAGGAACGCATGCCCGAAAGTTTGGTTTACTTCTAGCAGTCCAAGTGCAGACAATTCGTCGTTGATAGATGCATTCACCACAGATGGCATCAAGACGTAAGCATCAGGCAGACGCATTTTTTCTGTGTCTATCATATATCGTTTTTGAGAAATCTAAAAATAAATAAATGCTACTTTTGAATATGTCCTTTTATTCCTATTTTGCGTAAACGAGAATGTTCTTGCGTAATCCAAGAATAAATAAATGCTACTTTTGAATCATACGTCTGTTTGTTTCTGTTCTGCGTGAACGAGAATGTTCTTGTGTAATCCAAAAATAAATAAATGTTACTTTTGAATCATACGTCGTTTTGATCCTAATTTGCGTGAACGAGAATGTTCTTGTGTAATCCTAGAAGAAATAAATGCTAGTTTTGAATCATATGTCGTTTTGTTCCTATTTTGGGTGAACGAGAATGTTCACATTCACCACTTCTCCCAATTTGAATAGCTATTAGGTTGGTGCAAAAATAATGGCGTAAGAATGTCGTTTTTGAACGTAGAAAAGTACGTCAAAAAACGGCATTATTACGTCATTATTTTTGCACAAACCTAATAAATTTCAGAAATATTCTGGTCACAAAAGCAGTTTGGAGAAAAAAAAAATGAACCATTTTTTTATACTTTCTAGACGTGAACAAATAGGAAATAACACTTGCTACCCAAAAACAAAAACAGTCTTAAAACATCTATCAAACTAAAAAATCTACCAAACTATATTAGTGC